GGGGTTTGGTCATTTGTGTTTGCCTGGAGTCGGCAGTTGTTGTCCAGAGGTCGGTCAAATTGCCCGCGTCGTCGGAAACGGGTGTTCGACTGGAAGCTGACATTCGTCATTTGTGTATGTTTTCGCGGTGGTCCTTTTGGCAGGAGTGTCACTGACGTCACATGGGCGGTCGTTGTGGAGAGTTGTGAACACCGCAGCTTGGGCTAGTTGGTTTTCCATAATTTGTACTTCACAGCACATAAACGTCTCGCAATAGCAGGCACTCACTCATTTAGAGACACCAAAACATACACACAGCGCTCACTCACAACTCTTTGTATTTTGTGTTCGTTTTTCTTCTACTTAGTGTTAAAGCAAAATCTGGAAATTGTTTTGTCTTCATCATTTTCTCTCCGCCCATTATAGCGAATTGAGTGAGTGAGTGCCTGCAATTGTGAGACGTTTATGCGCTGTGAAGTACAAAGTTGTGGAGGGGCTGAGCACGGGCTTTTGCGAACAGTACTGTAAGCAGGAACGCCTGAGCATGCCCTTCGATGCATGCTGCGCGCTACCTCAAGGCTAATAACAAAACAGCGTATTGGAGAGGGGGTGGGGGGGTACTGCGAGAGGGCGTGCACATGGCAGTTTTTCCAGTCCACATTTATCAGCCTATATGTACATTTCGGATTTGCTTTCCTCGGCTAGAAAAAGGTAAAAATGGCCATCATTTCAGTTTAAGTCCAACTTTGTGTATGATTGGTTTGGCGATGATAGAGCACGGGAAAGGACCACCTTGTCCTTATTCGTCCCTGTGTGTTTAGGGTTTAGGGTGGAACTTTATCCTTAGAAGGAAATGGATATTCCGAGCCTTTGTTTAGGCGGCACGTGGATCATAAACAAGCGCTCGTGTGGAACATTAACGAACAAAAGAAAATATATATAGGAAGCGCATTAGAAAGTTGTTCCAACTTATTCGTTTGTTTTTTCGACACGTTTTATGTTAGAAGGTTAATTTGGAGAGGCGCACTTAAGCAAACGGCCCTCTTTAGGAGATGCGTTCTTCGCGCCCTTGGGTTGTTTGCAATAACGAACCTCGTCTCGCTTTACGATTGGACGGAATTTACGACTGTCCTTACACAATTCAAGGCGTCACGCGTTTTGGGGAAGAAAAAAAAAAAGAAGAAAGGCGAGCACACGATTAAAGAAACACCGAAATGAATTTTATTCTTTTTTTTTTTTTTGCGCGCGCGCGAATTTAATTTAGTTGTAGTTGCCTTAAGCATCCTAGAAAATCCCAAATCATTTACGTTCTTTCTCGCCACATGCCGCTGTTCTTAAGGAGGGGGCAAAACGCGATGTTTGATCGCGTTTTTTAATAATAAAGGGGAAAAACGGGCAATTTTAATTCGCAGTTTTCTAGGAAGCCTAGGGCATGTAGGCATTAGCTTGCGCCATAAAAATACATGTGTACAAATGCCTTCAGTGCTATGACTGGAAGGCGATCCTGAATGACGAGTGGGTTGATTCAGCTGTTGAAGCTCTTAGAAAAGTAGTCACGAGCGCAGTTGATAGCATTGTGCCTAAGCGTTTTTCTCCACCTAACGAATACCCTTTGTGGTTTTCGAAAGAGCTGAGGTGCTGCTTGCGACGTGAGCTCTTTAAAAAAAAATGTGGGCTGGGCAAGTGGTACGTCAAATTTAGCGAGTGTCGTGCTTCGGCGAAGTGGCTCTTTAGACGAGACGAAGCTCTGCGTTTGGCTGGGCTTGAGTTCGATATGTACAAAAGGCCCAAACACTTTTTTTTTTAAATGTACACTGCCTATAAAGATGCACTTGTGTCTTGTCACATGTCTTTAATTTATCACTACAAACGGAAATTTCTATGTATCTCTGAAAACGAACGGTGTTCAGACTCGGTAACCGGACTGTCCTAGCATTGTAAACAACTATCGCCCCGTTTTATTAGTGCGCAATTTTTCCAAGGTTTTTGAAATGATAGCGCACAAACGTCCCCACAGGTACTTCAGCCAAAACACTGAGCAACATGCAATCTAAAAAAACGAAAGAGAAAACATCTGGTGGTAGAACTCTTAGGGGTTCTTCGGCTTGTCCATATTTTGCACCCTAAATAGTTATTTTAGGCACCCCCTAAGAGGGGTCTTCGTGAAAAACCCTTAAGCCCGTTCACACTGTTGCGACCTCTTAAACCTGGGTTCCTTAAAATTTCTTAAACCAGAGAACACACTGGCGCCATCTATTGGGAAGCAGTGTAAACTCAGCGGTCCGGCATATTTTTTTTTATTTCTCGCTCATTATCCTTTCTTTTTTGGCTCGAAAAACTTTTGGCAATGTTATAAACGAGTCTTTCTATGGGTATTACGCACATTTGACCTCGGAAATCCCGCAAAACTCCAGGGTCACCGCATAGATGGCGCGATAATGCCAGTTTGTTCCCTCATCTTAAAAACATTTAAGAAGTTTTAAGAGATCTCGTCTCTCTCAGTCGTACTCGGTCGCAAGAGTGTGAACGGGCCTCGAAAGAATTCTTCGTCGCTCAGTTGCGTTTCTAGTGCGCTAGTGGGGCATGGTGCTTGAGGCGAAACCGTTCTTCATTAGCATTCTCGAGGCATCAAAAAACGTTCCAAAAACTATTTTAGAGTGTGGGTTTTTGAAGGGCAAGTAGGTGGAAACCACCTTCTGTTCGTTCGTCAGTGTGAGCAGGTTGATGTAGTAGTATGCTTTGACAGGTCGAAAGCATGCGATAAGGTTAATCACAGTGTTTTGTGTAAGCTTGATAGTTAGGGCTTGTGTGAAACTTGTTGCCAACCGGTTTAGAAATTATATTTTTTGCCGTACAAATTATGTTTTGTGTGTCAGGATCCATGTCCGAGCCTTTTCCGTCGCCCTCCGAAGTTCTCCAGGGAAGCAACTTGGGTGCACTTTTATTTGTGATATTTGTGAACGACATCTCGCTTTGTGGGAAAAATCCCGAAGCATACTATTATTTGCCGACGACATCAGATAGTTTAGCTGTGTTCGTTCTCAGTTGGATTGCCCGCTTCTTCGATCGCCACGTGATGTTCGATGAATTACCTTTTGCTGAATGAACCGGAAACGAAAACAATGTTTCTGACTAAGAAGCCACTTGTGTTAACTTACACAATTGGCAGGCTGTATCATTGCTCGCACGTCCGTCGTTCGCGATCTTGGCATTTTTGTTAATTTGTTCGTGAATCTTAATCGTCATGTTTCAATTATCTGCAGCGCCTCTTAGGAATCTCGGGACGATATCACGTTTCATGAGATTAATTTCATTCTCTGCTTGCATCGTGCATTTATTTCGCAGCCTAGTGCGCACAAAACTGCTGTTCTAGTGAGCGTATTCAAAGACGCTTCATCGGTTTCATCCACGACAGGGATGTGCACTTTAGTGCAGTGGTTCTCAGCCATTGATGTTTCACGGACCCCTTGTGAATAGCTGGAAATGATGGAGGACCCCGTTCGCGGTGAGGGGAAGGGAAATTTATTAAATAATAATGATCTAATGAAGGGATATATCTAAGAATCCTCTCATTGACATCCACAGGAGAAAACTTGCCAAAAATCAAAACGCTTCTTAACATGAAAAAAAAAATCTTTATTGCCGGATGTGATTGATGAGGCAGGGCTTCGCGGACCTCCATTTGAGAACGACTGCTTTAATGTGTAGAAGACGTTCACGTTCTTATATAAGGTTGTGGACGGAGCTGTTGATTGGCAACTTCTGTTGGGCATGTTGTCTTGCTCCCTTGCTGTTCAGTCGTTCTCAGAGTCCTTTTTACTCTGTGGGCTCATATGGGGGGGGGGGGGGGGGGGAGGAGGAGGAGGAGGAGGAGGAGGAGGAGGAGGGAGGAGGGAGGGAGGAGGAGGAGGAGGAGGAGGAGGGGGGGAGGAGGGGGGGAGGGAGGGGGAGGGCACATCACCACTAACAAGTATGCAACTGGAATTCAGCGAACATTATAAATATTTTGTTGACTTGTTTAGCGATATGAATACTTTTACACAAAATCTAGTCACTAATTTGTACGTAGCTATGAACTTTCTTTTGCTCTGTTTATTTTCCTTTTTTGACGAACTGTATCACTGTTTAGGCCACGTGCTGTTTCTGGACACATCAAAATGGAGATAATTATTATTATAATCTAATAACAAGACGGCTTTTTTTTTTCTATACTAGGGTTTGACTGTTTAGAATGTGTTTCGCCTGTGCTGTGTATCACTCTTCCTAAGTCTATTTTCTTTCTGGACTTCGGCACAATCCCAGGGAGTATAAAGATGTCGGACCGTTTTCCACCTGCGCTAATCGCCCGGATGGCGAAAAGCCCTCGTTCCCCTTTTGTTCTCCTAATCAAATACTTCGGAGAATACCTTCTACTCCGCTCATTCGCAATAGACAGCGCGCCTCTAGCAGAGTGTAAACACCTCGCGTGTGAGAGAACTTGTTCGCTTCTGCTTGGCACTGCGCTGAGTGAGAGGGCTGCTGCGGGCGCACCGAAACACCGGATTAGCCGGGACAGCAGAGACGGCTGTCTTCGCTGTCTCGACGGGTGTCCACGATGATAGATGGCGGCGGACGGTCCTCCCAATCCAAAGGGGAAAACCCGGAGGTTGCACGCGTGCAGCCGTTCCAACTACGCAAAAGATCCCTAGTAAATTATATGTCCTAATCTTAAAGAGAACGTCGAAAGGAAAAAAGCTCGGCTTTTGCTGCCGTGATCCCCTGTACGGAGCGCGACGCCGTTAACACGAACAGCCGATCGGCGGATTTTCCCAATATTTTCCTGTAGAATCTAAAGGGTGGTCGTCAAAAGTAGTGGTGTGCTGGAAAGTGCTCGTTTGTGCCAGACTTCGGTTGTACAAGGTGACAATGCCTATCAAAACGTGGTCCGAGTAAAAAACGTGGAAGTGCGCCGTTATTGTTTTCGCGCTCGTGTGTGGACGTTGTCTCGTGTGTGTTCCTTGACCCTGATGTTACCACCAAAGATTTGACTCCGTGGAGTCTGCGGTACGAGCCAAGAAGTCCCTGAACGGCGCCGACATCTACTCCGGCTGCTGCACGCTCAAGATCGAGTACGCCAAGGTGAGTCGTTCGATTATCCGAGGCCACCGTAGTTCGGACTTCGCGCGTGCTTTGGACGCTAGTACTACGTCAGCGTTGGGCGCGAACTCGGGTCTAATCACACGCTTTGCGCAGGAAGCGATGCCCAAAACATGTCGAACTCCATTGTTGCTTGATGGACCTTTGAAAAGGGTATGCGTCGTCTACCTACCTATACTCGGTGTCACCTCAAGAAGGAAAAAAAAAGTTTTACGCATTGTTTATAATTTTCGCGAAGTAGTTCTTATGAGATTTGGTTGTCGGAGGAACAAGCGATGCCTTCGGCATTTGGAACGTGTACCTCTTGATAGGATAACATGTGTGTATTCTAATCGCGATGGATGGATGGATGGATGAATACGGCTGAGCCCTTTGGATCGGGCGGTAGCTTACGCCACCTAGCCATTTTGTTTTACCATTTAAGCTTAGAATATTTAAATGTGAATGCTATATTCACTCCGCAGTGCAAAGAAAGTGAGGCTATGAAACCCCCTTGCCATCAGTGAATAAGAAAATACCTAGTTTTCTCTCGATTTCTGCCACCATTCACTTAATCTTTGCTTGGTAATCTCTACAGTCTTGAAATCCACTCTCCCTTCGCTGTCTCTAAAACCCAATGACTTTATTAAATCTATGTTGTCTTCGGTAGGCATAGGGTGAAGCCCTTTACAGTAGAGTATCAAGTGCTCAGCCGTCTCGTCCTCCTCTCCACAAGCAGTGCACACTGTATCAATTTCCTGGTACTTCACTCTGTATGTTCTGGTTCGCAGAACACCCGTTCTTGCCTCAAACAGCAATGACTCCAGCAAAACGGACGCCACCAAGCGGGAAAAGTGGGAACCAGCCGGAATAGGTCACTTAGCGCCTCTCCGCGTCTCTGGCGGCTTTCGCGGACACGTGTGGTCGGCGCGGTGACGAACAATGTAATTTGACGAAGTTCCGAAAATTTAAGGTTGCCTGAGTGTTTATTAGTGTGGTGTAATGAATCTTCAGTAGATTGTTTCCTTCCATCACGTGTTTGAAAGCCCGTTTACTCCACAACACACGGTCTCGTGGTTTCGATTTCCTGGATGGGGAGGAATCACGGAAAAACGTTTTGATTTCTTGTCTCTCTCGAATAACATTCAAACTGACGACTAGTTGGTGAATGATAAGTGGTTTCTTTATAAGGATGTAGAACAGTGGACTGAGGACGACAGACGAGGTGTTTCACTGGAGGGAACACCAATGTTGCAGTCAAGTGCATGTTTGATGGCTGCTTTTCTTGAGTTTTGCCGTGTTCGATTAGCTTCAAGATTGAGCCAACCACGCCGGTCGGTGTGTTGGTTGCTTTTCGCCGAAAAAGCCTCTGGACCACTCCGAAGGAGTTGGGCAGGTTTTGAAATTACTTGATTCCGGAGAACCTGCTCGCTGCATTTTGATTAATGAGGGAAATTGTCTGCTTTCAAAAGGTGGGGGACGCGTCTCACAAAGTTAGAAGCTGTCACGACATAATGGTTTATCGCTCCTCCAATATTTATATTATACCCCCGTCAAAGCCAGCAGCAATATACGTCTACATCACTCAGGTTGTCCGGCCGCAAAAAAAAATACTAAATTTCTCCATTCAGGATTCGAAGTCAGGTTCAATGCCCAGAGAGGTTCTGCGTGAATCTCCGATAAAGACTCTTCAGTTTGTCCGCACTCGTCTCCGTTCTACCGGCTAGAACCATTTGGCTGAGTTTGAGTAGTATCTCTCTGTCTGTCAAATATACTTTTATTCAGCAGCTAGTCAACTAAGCTCATATTTCAACCCGAAGAATATACTAGTTTCGCTTTAGTGGGACGTAGTACGTAATATAATACATAACCCGCATATTCGTCAAAATGACTGCTCGATTGCTACTAAAACTTGAAATACGAGAGTTAAGTATATAGAAATCATGCTTATTTATTAAGGTGTTTTCTTTTGTTAGAACTTTCCAGAGTTGCGTCGGCGTTGTTTTTTAGCTTTCTTTGTGGGTGTCGGCGTTTTGGAGGGAGCAATTGCGTAGGCAGAGCAGCCGAGAGGTGGGAGCGGTTCATCCGCGGTCGTTAAGAAACATCTCGGGTTTCGGGAGTCTGCTCGGACAGATCCCTGGGACAGCCCGTTCTTGCAGCTGCTTGTGGCTTTTAGCCGAATGTGCCTGCATATAGAGGGTTTTGTTGCTTTGTGTAAAATTGTCGCTTTTCGCCCGATGCAATAAGTTAGCGGTTGGCGCCAGTCAGACTGAAAAAATTGCAGAGAACAACTCTACAAGGAATGTAGGTTTGGCGGTTGGAGCGCCAGGATGACAGCTCGCCGACCAGTGGAGAACAGTGTACCACGTGGGAGTGGTGGAATTCGAAGAGATTGGTCGGTTCCTGAGGGGAAAGGAGAGGCCCCTACGGGCCTACAAAAAGAGTGCGGAGAGGATTTTGAGAGATTCGGACTTGGGATTTGATTGAGAGAAATTGGGGACGGGGGTCGAGACTTTAGACGAGGCAGGATGGTCTCCCAAGTTGGGACTTGTAACTAGAGTGTAAATAAATGCACATAGTTCTCTACAAGCAGTGAGTCGACCCGTCACTCCAGCGACGTTCGTGCCACCACGCTCCAGACCATCGGAGCGGAGCCTGCCTCTCCCACACCACCGGGAGGACCAAACAACAACTTTAACTACGAGTGTCAGCTGCTTAGTGGGGCGCCAGCGGGTTAACATGCTCCTAGGGTCAAGAAGCACTTGCTTAATTTTCGTAATTTTCCTGCAGCCTGTGTTGTTGACCGAGCAGACGACTTGAGCTGTCTTTTAACGCGGATACGCACAAAATCTCGATTTCGCAGACAGATAAATCGCATGGTCGAGGCATGTGAGGCATGCGAGCTAGCTGAAAATTACTCTCGGTGGAACAATTCTGTAGTCATCGCCGCTTTCCTTAGCTGATCAAAACTGATTAGAGTCTATTACCGTCTTTCCGGAGCCCATAGTTTCGGTTTTGAACGAAATCTCCGAAACAAAAGTTTGACATGAAAAAAGCAAAAAGCACCGGAAAAACAAAACTATGCTCTGCAAGTTTATTTGCACCGGCTACAGTTAACCGTCGCAGTTCAAATACCTATAAAATAGGGCATTAGACAAAAGAAAATTCATTAAATTGAATGCGCCACCCGTTCAGGCGGCCTGGCCGAGCCGACGCGACCTGTTCCCAGCCGCCATGTTTGTTTGGTTGTGGCGCCCCCTATAGGTCGCTGGAGTGGCGAATAGTCGGTGACAGGCAACGTTACTAAAACACTCAGTTGGGAAACTCGCCGTCGAAACCTGGGCCGCTGGCGTCCACCGAGACCGAGCTAAATGCGACAACAGCGCCACTCTTTATCATTTGTCTGTACTGTGGTCACCTTGAGCTTTTTGAAAGCCTGTTTTTGCCTAAAAACAAACGAAAAAGACTCTTTTTGTATGAAATTTATTGGAGTTTAGTACCAAAAGAGGGGCGCGTTATGTTTTTAAAATCTTTAGTTTGCATGGTTTTGCGGCACAATTAATATTGTTTTTATACAACCATGCCTCAGCGGGCCTTTCAGGTAGCACGTCCCGCCCTAGGTGCATTTTAACTTCGGCAGCTCAACGGGGCGCGTCCGCCAGGGAGACGGGGGTGGCACCCCTGTAACCTCTACCGCTGTATCTGTTCTTAAAGCCAAATAGAAGTCACGTGCAGTTCCTCGAGTGGCCGCTGCGGGAGAAATGGTGGCGTTGTGTTCGTCATTAGCTCGGTGCTCGGAGACACTTTGGGGCCACTTTTTCAAAGCTGTCTCTATGGGAGTTTCCCAACTGAGTGTTTTAGTAACGTTGGTGACAGGCTACGTGCTCAGGGGAAACTCCTCCCACCTCTTTCGACTTTAGCAGAGCGAGCTCAGGTAAGGAGGTTACCTCCTCTCTGGTGTTCGTTTCACCTCTCCGCATGAAAAATTAAATTATTCATTTTCTTTGTCTTTTTTTTTTTTTTTCCTGCAGTTTTTGAGGTGAAAATGAGTATAGTTTTACTGCCCGCGTAGGTCTGTTCTTTTCGACGTGTGGGGTGTCCACAGCGGATCCCAGCGCTGTAAAGTGAGCCGGAAGAATCGGCGCTGTCGTCGTCTGCGTTTCGCGTCTGCGTTTCGCGCTGTTTTCGAGCTGGAGGGAGCCCGTTTTGTGACGGATGAAGCAAGCACCGTGCCGTCACGGGACAGCTTTGCCATCGCCTGCAGACAGTTACTGTCTGTAGGTTACAAGTTACGCTCCACGATGGTAACTTGTTCCATAGACCCTTTTAATGTTTACACGAGATGTCCTCGCCTCCCAATCGACTTGCGGTCACTCCGTTCTGCAGGCCTTTCAAGCTTGAAAAAACAGGGCGCAGGCGAGCTGATGTAAGTTTACCATTTTTTAGACCACCTAAGACCATAGGTCGGCATTTCCGAACCCACTCACTCACCATCACATCACTAATTACAGCAACATCCAAAAGTCACAGCCCTTCACATCACAAAGTACATCGACGTCCAAAAGTCACAGCCTTTCACATCACAGAGTACACCGACGTCTAAAAGTCACTGCCTTTCAGATCACAAAGTACACCGACGTCCAAACGTCACGGCCCTTCACATCACAGAGTACACCGATGTCTAATATTCACGGCCCTTCACATCACAAAGTACACCGACGTCCGAAAGTCACGGCCATTCACATCACGGAGTTCAACCGGACAACAAACTCATCCCCATCACCTCACCGCAATCTCTGAACTCACAAAGTCATTCACCGTCACTTCACGAATCCGTCAAGTTCACGAAGTACTTCACCGTCACATCACGAATCCTATAGAGTTCATGAAGCGTTCCCCATCCCATCACCTCCAACTCTGAATTCACGAAGTCGCTCACCGTCCCATCACGAGCTCATCGAGTTCAGCAAGTCGTTCCCCTCACGTCCGTGAACTGATCCCGT